GAGTGCAAAAGGCACGGGAAAGAGCAAAGACAGGAAGAGTAACGATCGCAGCAACTCGGCCGATCGATCTCCCCCGAAGGAAGATATCACCCCTTCGAACGAAGATGAATCTGGATCTGACGAAGAGAAACCCACATCCCGCCGGAAGATCTTCACAATCAGGACGACTCCTGCGCTCTCCCTGACGGACGATACATCGGCAAAGGAAGGACAATCTGACTCATCTACCTCAGAGAACACACAGGAGGACGACTTCAGGTTACAACACGATCTGCGTGACTCTCTCAAACGGAAGAACGCAAAGCTGAACATTGAACCTCCTCCCAAAAACCCGCAGCGGACGATCGCAACTTCGAAAATCAGGAAACTGAATACGCTGGACGCTCGCCATCGCCTGGACGCTAAGAAGCATGACCTTCGAGCAATAATCAACTCGCGTGTTGGCGACTTGCGCAACCAGCTCAATCGATCGGCCGGGGCCAAGAGTGACGAAACAACGGAGGACCTGCGTACGCAGTTGAACGATGCCCGATTGAAGCGCTCAAACGCGCCCAAGCGATTAAACGTGATCTTGGGAGGATCACCTCCCCATATCGACTCGGTCCGTTCAGTTAAGGATTTCCGCCGGAGAGCAGTCACTGCACAGAACCGGAGCACCATATGGGAGAACGTCCCCCAGATTACCTTCTCCGCTCAAGACGCTAAAGGGGTTCACATGCCCCATAACGATTCCCTTCTCGTCGAGCTCGGGATTGGTGACTGCGAGGTAACGAAAGTCCTCATCGATACCGGGAGTTCAGTCGACCTCATCTTCAAAGAAACTCTTGAGAAGATGGGAATCGACCTCCGCACGATCAAACCTTCTGCGCGATCCCTGACAGGATTCAATGGATCCTCTGAAACAATGCTCGGCACCATACGACTGCGAGTCCACGCTCATGGCGTGAACAAGAACGTCAAGTTTTCGATAATCGACGTAAAAACTCCATACAACGCGATTCTCGGAACACCGTGGATCCACTCGATGAAGGCGATCCCGTCAACTTATCACCAATGCATCAAGTTCCCAGGCATGGACGGTCGAATAATCACGTTACGTGGAGATCAGGCAGCCGCCTGCGACCTCCTCGTTGCGGAAATAAAGCTCCGCCGATCGCCCTGCCACGTGAATGCCGTCACTAGACCATTTCAAAAAATCACCCCTTTCAAGGAGGAGATCTTGGAGGTACCCATTGATGGAGACGACCCAAGCAAAATCGCCCGAATAGGCGCTCAACTGCCGACCGACACGAAAGACATGATCGTCTCTTTCTTGAAGGAAAACGCGTCAACTTTCGCTTGGACGACCGCCGATATGAAAGGGATAAGCCCTTCCATTACGACACACGAGCTGAACGTCGATCCAACAATCAAACCAGTTCGACAGAAAAGAAGAAAGTTGGGACCTGAACGTTCAAAAGCGGTGAACGAAGAGGTCGACCGACTACTCAGCGCAGGATCAATCGAAGAAGTCAAGTACCCCGAGTGGTTAGCAAACCCCGTCGTGGTAAAGAAGAAGAACGGGAAATGGCGCGTTTGCGTCGATTT